CCCCCCCCCCCCTAAAAAAAACTCCAAAACAACAGCACCATGGTCACATGCAAACTCAGCATACACACTTGATTAATCAACTCTCGTCACTTGCACTTAAACATCCTAATATATACAAGTGAGCAAAAGAAACGCAAAAATCTATTTTGGCCATAACTAAATTACCATCTATACTAGAAGACTGAACTTTACACGATCGACATTATGTCATAGCCTCTTTGGAAATCAAAAGTCACCCATCAAGAACATCAGATTTGATCAGCAGTATCCCCAGAAGAGCCAGAAGTCGAAACACAGTGAATCAACGATTGCGTCAGATAGGCTGTAGACGCCGTCGAAGTACCATGGTCCAGGCTTGACCTCACACCATCGCCAACAGCGTCTCAACTGGGCTCACCACCATGTCAACAGCCGCCTGAGACACTGGTCGTCGGCTCTCATTTTCGGACAAACGCCCGTTCTTCATAGATTCAACAAACAGGGGTTTCACAATTTATCAAGATGGAGACGACCGTTATCGTGGCAACTGTATCATAGAGAGGAATCACTGGGGAGGACATCGCGTCATGATCTGGGGTGGAATCATCTGGAGCCACAAAGTAGGACCATTGATCCTCCAAAATCAAGGCCAAAGTCGAGGTCACGATATCAATGCTGCCCGCTCCATACTGGAAGTTCTTATGCCCCTCAACCCAGACAGCATTTTAACTTCAGGTTCCAGCAAAATAATGCCTTTGCGCACACTTCTCGTGTTACACAGGATTTCCTTCGATTCAATGGCATAACTCTACAGCCTCAACCTGCCCGCAGCACGGGTTAAAACCCCACTTAAGCTTTTTTTTGTTAAGAAATTAAATGACGCATCAAGGGGAGCCAACGTAGGCCGAGAATCATACAGGAATTGGATGTGGCCATCCAGGAGATATGAAGGCGGATCCCTCAACGTTTTACTAACAACCAAGTGGCTCCCTTTTACCGGAGATGCACTGCGGTTATCCGATCTAATGGTGGCCATACTCACTACTGAGAATTTTGATCCATTAACCGGAAGTTGAAAGTGTATTCCGTTAAAATTGAATATTCACAGTGATGCCCTACGTATCCTTTCATAATGCCAGAAAACGGTTAGTATTTAAATTCCCTCGTTTTGTAAAAGAAAAAGAAAAAAAAGAAAGGAAAACGGAGATGATCACCATTGCAAAGGTAAACAGGATTTTGCGATTCTTTTGCTAGCTAGTATAATATATATA